AAAAATGTATTTATATTATTATTATTATTTATCTATCATTTATACACTTTATTATTTTATTTATTTAAGCGTCTGTTAAGTGAATAGTATTTGTCGTGGTCGGATTAGGTCGATATAACTCTAGTCTGACTTTCTGTTAGCCTGACCTTAATCTTAACAATGAAGTAATGAAATTAGATTAACAATAATCCAACACATAACTACACAAACAAATCACTGTTGATTGTCTTTACACCCAAACTGTGAGAAAGAAAAACGATTTAATAAAGCTAATTCGTTTTACTTTATTTTTAAATGCAAGTCATGCTAGCTAGCGGCCGCCGTTAGTCGACAGACGGAGCTTATTTTCAGTTTACGATGCTAATTATTAAAACAGTATTTCTGCAGCTCAGTCAGACAAACCTTTAATTTCGCGGTCCTCTTAATGTCCTCTTTATGTCCTCTTCATGTCCTCTTTATGTCCTCTTAATGTCCTCTTTATGTCCTTTTTATGTCCTCTTTATGTCCTCTTAATGTCCTCTTTATGTCCTCTTTATGTTCTCTTTACGTCCTCTTTATGTCCTCTTTACGTCCTCTTTATGTCCTCTTAATGTCCTCTTTATGTTCTCTTTACGTCCTCTTTATGTCCTCTTTACGTCCTTTTTACGTCCTCTTTATGTCCTCTTAATGTCCTCTTTATGTCCTCTTTATGTTCTCTTTACGTCCTCTTTATGTCCTCTTTATGTCCTCTTTACGTCCTCTTTATGTCCTCTTAATGTCCTCTTTATGTTCTCTTTACGTCCTCTTTATGTCCTCTTTACGTCCTTTTTACGTCCTCTTTACGTCCTCTTTATGTCCTCTTTACGTCCTCTTTACGTCCTCTTAATGTCCTCTTTACGTCCTCTTTACGTCCTCTTTATGTCCTCTTTATGTCCTCTTCATGTCCTCTTTATGTCCTCTTTATGTCCTCTTCATGTCCTCTTAATGTCCTCTTCATGTCCTCTTTATGTTCTCTTTATGTCCTCTTAATGTCCTCTTTACGTCCTCTTTACGTCCTCTTTATGTCCTCTTTATGTCCTCTTCATGTCCTCTTTATGTCCTCTTAATGTCCTCTTAATGTCCTCTTTATGTCCTCTTCATGTCCTCTTTATGTCCTCTTAATGTCCTCTTTATGTCCTCTTAATGTCCTCTTAATGTCCTCTTTATGTCCTCTTAATGTCCTCTTTATGTCCTCTTCATGTCCTCTTCATGTCCTCTTTATGTCCTCTTTATGTCCTTCATTAAAGGAGATTGTCCTCCATGGCATTAGCCGTTAGCAGTTAGCGTCCCCATAGCTGGAATTAGCCGTCACGTCATCACTTTCATTAAAAATATGAAAACGTCTGGACTACATGCCTTGTTTTATTTTATTATAAATTAAATTAAATGTAAATATAAATGAATATAATCCAGATACATCAAACAAACATGTTTTTTTAATAGATTTAATAAATATATAACTGTTGTTATTAGTTATTTAGTGACAGTAGTAATCTTCAAACAAGAGTATCAGTAACATATGTAAGTAAAGTGAAGCTGGGACATGTCGGCGTGTGTGTGTGTGTGTGTGTGTGTGTGTGTGTGTGTGTATGTGTGTGTGTGTGTGTGTGTGTGTGTGTGTGTGTGTGTGTATGTGTGTGTGTGTGTGTGTGTGTGTGTGTGTGTGTGTGTGTATGTGTGTGTGTGTATGTGTGTGTGTGTGTGTGTGTGTGTGTGTGTGTGTGTATGTGTGTGTGTGTGTATGTGTGTGTGTGTGTGTGTGTGTGTGTGTGTGTGTGTGTGTGTATGTGTGTGTGTGTGTGTGTGTGTGTGTGTGTGTGTGTGTATGTGTGTGTGTGTGTATGTGTGTGTGTGTGTATGTGTGTGTGTGTGTGTGTGTGTGTGTATGTGTGTGTGTGTGTATGTGTGTGTGTGTGTGTGTGTGTGTGTGTGTGTGTGTGTGTGTGTGTAATGAAATGTTTTGAACATTCCTGTGTGAGCTGAGTTTTAGGCCCTGCAGGCTGTGACCAACATGACCAAACAGATGTCTGACTCCCCTCCTCCTCCTCCTCTTCCCCTCCTCCTCCTCCTCTTCCCCCTCCTCTTCCTCCTCCTCTTCTTCCTCCTCCTCTTCCTTCTCCTCCTCCTCCTTTTCCTCTTCTTCCTCCTCCTCCTCCTCTTCCTTCCCCTCTTCCCGTCGTTTCCTCCTCCTCCTCCTCTTCCTCCTCCTCTTCCTTCTCCTCTTCCCCTCCTCCTCCTCCTCCTCCTCTTCCTTCTCCTCTTCCCCTCCTCCTCCCCCTCCTCTTCCTCCTCTTCCTTCTCCTCTGCCCCTCCTCTTCCTTCTCCTCTTCCCCTCCTCCTCCTCCTCCTCCTCTTCCTCCTCCTCTTCCTCCTCCTCTTCCTTCTCCTCTTCCCCTCCTCCTCCTCCTCCTCCTCTTCCTTCTCCTCTTCCCCTCCTCCTCCCCCTCCTCTTCCTTCTCCTCTGCCCCTCCTCCTCCCCTCCTCTTCCTCCTCTTCCTTCTCCTCTGCCCCTCCTCCTCCTCTTCCTCCTTCATCAGCTCATAACTTTATTTCTCATCTAAAGAAGTGGAAGAAGAGTTCAGAACAACATTAAATTACATTTTTTAATAAAAAACTGAAAGCACTTTCTGTAAATATGATAACAGGTCAATCACAGGTAGCCCCGCCCTTAACTCCTCCCCCTCTGTGTGACTCTGAATGGGATCATAAATGAACATTATGCTGTGTTGAGGAAGACTTCAAACTAGAGACTGAGAGACGACTGAGGGAATAAATGAGCTGCAGAGAGAGAACATTATATCAGAGACTTTAGACCTGTCGCCCCCTGCTGGAGAAAAGTACATTAGAGTCTCATTGGCTTCACTTTTTAACCTTTTTGACTTGTTTTGAACAGTCTGTGTGCACAAATAAGAAAACTAGAGCTGGACTTTAGAGCTGAGAGATTTTTACATCTCAGGCGGGAAAGTGTTGAACGGTTCATTGTTCAGCTTTCTTCTCTTTTACTTTCACTCTTTGTTTCCGTACGTCAACGCTCTTTTCACCGCTCGCTGTGTAAACTCTGCTCGGAGATAAAACTCTGTATCAATAAACTTTCACCACCAGCTTTATTAGACAGCTTTTAACCCACATTTGAACCGTCAGAGGAGGCCAGGCAGCCGTCCAACAGAATCCTCCTGTAGGTCGACCACAGTGAACATACTGCATTAACAGTTTATCTGTTTGTTTGTACTTTTTCGTTCTCCTGCACATTTCCCTTTTTATCACTCAAACAACAAAATAATGACATTCAGGACAAATACTCCTAAGAGAGAAAGACAGGCTGCAGAGTTCAGAGAACACAATCACTAATGGACGATGTAAGACGAGTCTGGGAGTAAATAAAAAAAACATTTACTTCTGTTTATCTGAGTGCAGGTGGCAAAAGGTGACTTAAGTCAACACCTGCTCCTCCTGGGGGGATTCTGAGGCGTCCCCCGACCAGATGGGATCTTATAATCCCTCCAGCGAGCTCTGGGTCTACCCTGAGGTCTCCTCACCTGGCTCCTTCTCACTGTGTGCTTCTGACTCTACCTTTCAGCTTCAACTTCTCTTTTCTGCTGTGAACTTTTTAATGACTCTGACTTCTTTTAGGGGCGGGGGGGGGGTAAGACAGCTAAAGAGGGAGTGGGGGGGGGGGGGGTGAGACAGCTAAAGAGGGAGTGGGGGGGGGGGGGGGTAAGACAGCTAAAGAGGGAGTGGGGGGGCGACATGCTGCAAAGGGCCGAGGTCAATTTGAGGCCCAACGTGAGGATAACAACATGTGATCTGAAACACTGAGGTGACACTCGACACACTACAGTCCTCTGGAGTTTGGATTGAAAATCTTTTCAGGAGTTTATTAATCGTTTGAAGATAGTTAGCAGTTCTGCTATGCTAAGTGTAAACCTCTATGTGACCTCCTGAAGACCATGAAGGACCAGGAACAGCACGTGTCCACCTCCGATCATCTTGTGACCTATTTTAGGGTCCCGAACCTCAGTTTGGGAACAATAAACCGTGCACCCTCAGATAAACTGAATGTGGTGTAACGTGCTAACTTCTCTCTGGAGTTTGGTCGGAGACGCAGTTCTTCTGAAGTACTTCAGTGTTACATACATTCCACTTAAGCTCTTTAACATGTGAAACCTTCACCTGAGGTCGACCTCTGACCCCTGAAGAAGTTCAATGAGCTGCAGAATGAACGAGGAACAAGCAACATGAAGTTTGACAGAAAAGTAACTTATGGAGTTTGAAGTGGTGAACATACATGATGTTGTTTATTTAATGCAAACCTTCCCGAGGCAGATCTCTGGTTCAGTAGTCCAGAATAAAACCATCTAGTTTAATCATATTTAAAGTAAATATAGCAAATAGAAAATAAAGTATTTTTACATTCAGTTGACAAGCAGTGAATAAATGTGATATTTCTTTTTATTTTAACCAGTAGGAATGTGAAGTTAAATCCTTGATGTATAAATCTCTTCCTCTTCATGTATCTATTCTTATATTGTTTTATTTGCTTCGTGCATCCTTTGGATTAACTGAATGTGGTGTAACATCCTGTGCTGCATTCAAACATGTAAATAAATAAAAAGAAGTTTTCTGCAGTACTTTAAGCAGCTCCGCTCCTCTAAACCAGGGGTTCTCTACTGGTGGGTCGGGACCCGAAAGTGGGTCGCAGAGCTGTTTTCAGTGGGCCGCAAATGTGTGACTGGAAAAAATATGCTGTGAAGAAGTCTGAAGTGCTTTTAAAAAAAAGTTTGTTTCATTCAGTTTGATTTTTTCTCTCAGACTTTGTAACATAAAACAAATATAAACTTTGTGAAGGAGAAGTTTTTGTATCCTGAGACTCGACCGCTTCAGAACCATGCTGCTCTAAACTCCTCACCTGGTTTGTTTTTTCTTACCTGCAGCTTCTTTTTGGGCGTCCTGAGAGGGAAAAGAAACGAGTAGAGATTGGGAGGTACAACTCACAAAATAAAGTCCGGTTTATTGTCAGACAACAAACTTCGCACATACATCAAAACAGGCCGTCATAAAAACAAAAAGTCGCTGACAAAAAACAAAGAAAAAAAAGAAACCAGGAAAAAGAAAAGAGGCTCTTTTCTTTAGCCTTCCCCTCCCATACAAACAAACGAGTTATGGTACAGCTAAAGTACATACATTAAATTTACTGGAATGCTCTGAGTTCAACGGCTTAAGAGGTTTTTGTCTTTCATGTTTGATTCTTTTTTTTAAAACTGTTTTTTTTTACACGTTTTGTTTTCCTGTCGAGATATCGTAACATGGTCAACCAAGTAAAACCTTTCGTTTAAAGAAGCACCGATTTGGTCTGACAAGATCGCTGCCGAGAGAGAGACTGACCCCCCCTCTTCCTCGTCCTCCTCCTCCTAACAATATGTACAAAAATATAAAATGTAAATAAAAATACAAACAAATTCTCCTTTCGTGTTGTTGTCGTTGAAGAGAAGCCGGATTTCTGCGTCGGTGTGTGTTGGCGTCGTTTCCTCTAGAAAAATTTGTTTTGAGGGGAGATCTGGTGTGTGTGTGTGTGTGTGTGTGTGTGTGTGTGTGTGTGTGTGTGTGTGTGTGTGTGTGTGTGTGTGTGTGTGTGTGGTAGATGTTTTGTTGAACTCTACTTGCTAATGACCATGTTGGATTTTTTTTTTCATTTATTATATTTTTTTTCCTTTTTTAAATCAGTCCTCCAGCCCCCCCACCTGTGACATATCAAAACAGTCAGAGGTGAAGAATCAGGAAGTGGGTTCAGCAGGATGGCGCGGCGGTGAGGAACGCAATCAATCGTCTTCGTCGGTTTTCTGCTTCTTGGTTTCGACGTCGTCCTGAAGGAAGACGAGAAGAAGAAGAAGAAGAGTTAGTGTCACAGCGAGCGATTGATCTCCATTTAAACATCGGAGGGATTTCGACGCCTCACCTCGTCGTCGTCATCGTCGTCCTCAGCCGCCCGTTTTGTGCCACCCTCGATCTCGTCGTCGTCGTCCTCCTCGTCTTCCTCGTCGCCTGCGGAGCGAGGAGACATTATGAGATGTTTGCACTCCGTAAAGAAAACGATTAAAAAAACATTTTAAAAACTGAAAGCGTACCTTCTCCCTCGTCTTCCTCGTCCTCCTCGTCCACTTCATCGTCGTCTTCATCGTCTACCTCGGGCTCGCCGTTCTCCTCGTTCTCCTGGAAAAATAAAAGTTTTTTAAAAGTTCATAAAACTGCGTAAAGAAAAAAAACCAGAGGGAAACCAGAGTCCTGTAGGGAGCGGGTTGAGGCGATTACCTTTCCGTTGGTGGCAGCATCTTTGCCGTTCTCCTTCTCCTCCTGGAGCTTCTTCTCTTTCAGTTCCTGCAAAACAAACACAAACAAACATTTCAATCAAAACAGCTGATCCATGACAACCTGCTAACTGATGGCCTGTTTATTGAGCCCCAGTGCATGCTGGGAGCTCAGCCCCTGTCAGATTGAAGCCTTCCTTTTTAAACTTCATGCTGCTCTCTGCAGATCCCCCCCTCCCCCCTCCCCACTCCATCCCCTCTAATGTGTTGTAATCTGATACTTTGATGTGGCCCCAGGAGCATTCTGGGTATTGTAGTCTTCCGCTGGCTGCTGTCACCGCCATATGTCACGAGACACGCCCGGGAGAGGCACTGCAATACCCAGGATGCACCGCGCCATTTAAAATAACACAGTACGGCGCAGAAGCAGGGAGGCGGGAGTGAGTGAGTGAGGGGGGGGGGGGGGGGGGGGGTGGAGGAGGAGGAGGAGGAGGGAGGGGGGAGGCGGCGGAGAGCGCGATACACGCTGCTGCTGCTGCTGCTGGCCGCTCGTTGTAACGGAGGCTGAGAAGGACAATAGAAGACGACACATGGCAGGCGAGGAGAAGCGCGCGCACACCGTAACACACAGTAACACACAGTAACACACAGTAACACACCGTTACACACAGTAACACACAGTAACACACAGTAACACACCGTTACACACAGTAACACACACCTTCGGGGGGTTTCTGCGCCCCGCACACACCGGAAAACCGCCCGCCGACTCTATTAATAGCGCTCGGTTTGCTCGCTGTGTCGACCTCGTCGCTCTTCTCCCCGCTGCACGTTCAGCCATATTGATTAATTGCTTCACATAATCTTATTGGTTTAAATCCATTAAGCTGTTTAGGAGCATCGGAGGCTCCTTTGGCACGAGACGAATGAGGTTGAGTTGAGCTCGAGGCTGCTCTCGCGCACTCCTCCACTGTGCGTAAAACGGCGCTTGTGCGTAAAAATGATCCACAACTAAAAATAGTGTGTGAGCGAGCTCCCCGGATTACCAGCTAATACCAGGCCCCAACTTCTCCCTCTACACCTCCTCCATATGTT